TTTCAGCATCGCCCGACGCCGCCCCCGTGACATCGCGTGTGCGCCGCCGCCGTGGCTCTTTTATTTCGGCGCTTGAACCGTCCAACTTTAAAGAGCAGAGAAGAAATGGGAAACTGTGGAGGTCGAGGTGACCTGACGTCGCCTATCCTAGCCTTGCGCACCCGTCTGCGCAGACAATTAGCGTGACGGTCGCCAAGATTCACGGATGGCCCACGTGGGGAAGGGGCTTTGCGCCCCATCCTCGTGCCGAGGCGGGCGAGGCGCAGCATCTGCGAGATACCTGGAAAGCAGAAGGCTCCGAATCCCAGATTCAAACTAATGCCGATTGGTGCGCTCCGCCCGATTAAAGGCATCCAAGAAGGCCCTGCTTTGGTGATAGCTGAAAATATGTTATTTGTTGGACTCCCCCTCCCCCTCAAATTTGAAGTAGTACCGTTACCGTCACCGCCCCTACCCTTTCAGGGGTGAGAGCGAGTGTGTGGCGCCGTTACGGTATACCCAGACCGGAATGTAACGTATACCATACCACCGTGCGGGCGGGCTTCCCTCCCTACCGTCCGTCTCTCACCATGGCGTCGCATGGCCCCGCGCGAGTAGGCAACGCGAACACACGCCTGCTTGCGGTGCAGTATGACTAAAACGTGCCCCGGGGTCTGCTGTGAGTCACCCCATGGACTCGACGGCGTGGTGCCACGACGGGTGGAGTTGAGCGCGAGGGGACTGCACTGCCTGAAAGTCATCTCGGTGCCAGTATGCGGTGACGTAACAACACTTAGAGAGGGCGTGCCCCGCCAGGACCGCCGCCTGCCGAGCCTTTGGGGGTTGAAATCGATGAACCTAGTATGCTACGTGAGGTCATAGGAAATGTTATTGGTACATTCTCTCGGAATCTAACAGAAAAATAATTAGGTTTTGACAATTTTTTCGACTTTGCGTGATCTACATTCTTACAAACGGGGTTTGTTGTAAGTTTCTGTCTCGTTTATTTGTTCATGTGTCAGTCGGCTTTCTCGTCGGTGTAAGTGCTGCATGTGCCTATCCGAGCTTCCCACTGATACGATTGCAAATCACCTTCAGCCAGCCCCCAAATTATCACCAAAATTGTTTTTGTTCGTTGTCTATCTGTGTATGTATTGTGTTATGCAGTCTAACTTTGGCACAGCCCACTAACATTTATGTGTACGGTTCATGTGTTATTGCTTGCCAATAACCAGGGGCTTACTAACACCGCTAAGCACTCGCACCTTTGCACTGCACGCTCGCTCTGCTTGCCTCCGTCTCTAGCGTCCCCCACTCTCCACCGGGACGGAACGGGGCGGCGTGTGCATGCCGCCCGCCGATACCCCGCGGCTCCCGTCGCCCTCGCGGCGAGGGGTAGAGACGGACGCTCCACCCCCGGCGAGAGTGAGTATCGCCGCCGACGCCAGCCAGCGCCCCCCGGGGCGCGGGGCATTGCCGCGGTCCGGTCTCCTGGAAGGGGTGTCCGCCCAGCACCCAGCACGGGGGCTCGGCCTGCGCCCGGCAGGCAGTGCAGGGGTGCGGTGCGGAGCGGTGCGCAGCGGTACTACGTGGGTAGTAGGGTTGCTCGATCGCTGATCACTGGGTGTGTTCTGCAGCACCTCCTGGCGTACCTCAGCGATCCCGACGGTCCAGGGGACAGCATCAGGAGGGTGAGAGGGAGGAGCTCCAGGCCCTCGGCGTCGGTATGTACTGCTGCTGCTGAGCCGCTGCAGGTGGCGGTAGGGGTGGTGGTGTTGGTGCATGGCATGTAGTAGCCTGGTCTAGAGGCTGGTGCAGGTAGAGTTAGTCGCAGGCCCGAGACGCCGCAACCCATATGTAGCTCTCTTTCTGACCCATCGCACGTTGCTCCTGCTTTAGGACCACTCTCTCTGTATCCCTCTCTTCCTCTAACTCTCTCATTATCTTTCTCTCACCTCCCCCTTTCTCTACCCCCCCCCCTCCTTTCCCGCATCACCTTCCTTAGCTTTGTCCCCTGGTCATTCTCTCTCTCTCCCTGTCTTCCGCCATCCGCTCCCGGCCTCTGTTATGCTCCAACCGTCTGGCCTGTCTCCTCCCGTTGGGGTGGGGGGTCCTGGGGCCCGCGGGGTGGGGTGTCTTGCCCTCTCGCCTGCCTCCGGGGCCCGTCCCGGGGCTGCGGCGTGCGGTGGGGGAGGGGCTCGTCTGGACGGGGGGTGCCGGCGACAACCCCTTGCGGTCTCTGGAGAGAATGTCGACCTGCCGTGCCCAAGGCGTGCCCCCCTGGCCCAGCAGCCCCGCCCGCTGTCGTCGCGGTGGTGCTGGAGTGGTGTAGTTGCGGCGGGGGACGTATGTTCTCGACAGGCCCTCGCCGTTTCGAAACGCAACAGCCACCCTCCACCACGGGGGTGCGAGAGCAGCACGCGGGGGGCAGTTAGCTGGAAGATTACGACAGGCGGGATGCTGATGCCGTCGGCGTTGGCCCGTCAAACGAGCAGCAGCCGCGGACGGGTCGGGGCGGCGAGCGGCACCCGCGGGCCGGGGCCGAGTCGGCTGCAGCGCGCAGGCGCCTAAAAACACCCCTCGAATGATCAATACTTGGCGTGTGGAGAATATTGGGGAAGGCAGGGAGAGGGACGGACAGAGAGGAGGGAGAGGG